TGATACAAGAGATGCAAAATCATGAGACAAGATGTTTTACCATAAGACACTTTACAAATTACATTGGTGGAATTCTTGAGAGATCCAAACATCTCTGCAGAGAAACTGAATCACCTACCAAATGGCTCTTTACTACCAAAGATATCAAAAAATTCAACACTTGAAAATTCAGGCTACACCTATGCAAATTAGAAATATGACTTCCTTACAAAGAGACAATCATATCAGGTACTAAAGGTAACTCCCAAGAATAGCTGCAAATACTTCACATCCTTATGTTGACACATTAGACTGCCTTTAATACAGAAGATATATTTAGTCAAGTATCTCTGAAAGACAGACTTTTACCAAATCTAGGTTATTGCTCTTGGATAATTAACTCAATATAACCACTACATGAATCAGGTTAGACTGTCTAAAGATCCATTATGTTCTTAAAATCTGCTACTTCACTTTTGTCTGAATCCAGGAAAATAAATTAACCATTAAGTACAGATTTTTTGCAACCACCCACAGCCTGGTCCAAAATAAGAAGGGAAATACTTACTTTGCTAAATCAGTAAGTTCTTTCACATCTATAAGCGCTTCTAAGATGAACTATTTGGGTACTACTCCTTCCAATACTCAAATCAAAAGAGGCCGAAAAAGGTTTTTAAATTAAACAGTGTCATCAACAATGGAAAAATAATTTTGTGAGCAAGACGTCTTAGCATTTTCACTACTACTGCAAGAATTTTCTTAGCATTGATCCATTTAAGAATTTGAACTAGGACTGCAATCCTCAGAGACTCAAGCAAAAACTGTTATCTCATTGATTTTTTTAATTTCAGGTTTCTCTGTGCTTCATTTTGTCAAATGCTCCCAATATATGAACACTGACACAGAAGCATATTCCTGAAATTAGCCAAACTGAGCAAAAATTAATATGATTATTTAAAACAGTAACACTGCAGATTCATTTTTATCATTTCATCAGCCACATAATGCATTGAACCTTTGATCTGTAAACTTTTGGTTGCCACCTCTTGGGTTTCCCTCCAGGACAAGGAAAACTCATACCACAAATGCAGGACACTACGAGGCAGAAGAAGGGTGAGGAGGAAAAGAAAGAGGGAACCTTAAGACAACTAGCAAGAGTAAGAGCCTGAGCTTCTCCACAGCTGCCTCAGAGTCCTGACAGAGTTAAGAATCCCTGTTAGCAGCAGCAAAATGAATTGCCCACCCACCACAACTAACAATAAAGAAAAACTTCCTAGCTGTTTTGATGGACATACCACTGTGAGCCAAGAAAACTGAGTAGCACAGAATCAGTCTGTTCTGCTCTGTCAGCACTTGAGATAAACACCCACTCAGGAAGAGTGTCCTGAAACCTGAGCAGGATACGCATACTTGTCCTGTAACACATGTACAGTCCCTAGGTACTTAAAGACCATATTTATATAGGGGTATTTTACCAGTGACATCCTTTCACTGTACAGTTCTTTTCATCACTATTCCAGAGTATCCCAAAAAACAGCCTACAATGAAATGGGAAATTCTTGCAATACTTCTATGTACGGGCAATTTAGGAAATGTCTTTTAGCTGAAGGTGTATTTATTATTATGTATTTCTGGGGGAGTTAGGCACATGAGGGGGGAAGAGATGAAGAAAGAGCTAGAACAGCTTACTGAAAACACTGACGAAAAGGAAAAACAACATGAAATACAGGAAAAACAATATTTTCCTGTACAAATGGAATTTGAAATGAAAACTCCATTTCAAAGTTTTAAAATATTACCTTAGATTTAAAAAACTGTAAAAATTAGATAGTCTGAAGAGAAAATTTTTCATATGGGTTGATGTAGATTTTTTACCCTAATTTTCAGCATTTTGTCAAGTTAGACGTATTTCAAAATCCCCCAAACCCAAGCCATTCTCATGCCCTAACGATAACCCTCAGAGAACAGTGGCAGTCTTACATTACATTAATTGAATGGGAATTCTACAATTCCCATTGCTTTTACACAAGAATGAGTGTAAATATACTGGATAATGCACACACATACCAATGTATCCTTCTTAAAATCAGCCTGATTTCTCTTTTGCACCACTCACAGTTCTTTGCTCTTTATTTTGGATCATAATATTTAGAGGGCCATGCCCAAGTTTTAGTTCCATTATACTGGACACAACACATTAGTAAAGTTCCCCGACCACAGCTTCCAGACACTATGGCAATACAAACAGTAAGCAAAATATTTCCTTTCAACTAACTGGCAGAGACTTCTAGAAGTACTTATGTCCACAGTAGTCATGCCAGTACAGCAGAGAAAGAGTAGGTGTGGAAATTATATACCTGCATTTAATTTCAGTTAGGCACAGCATAAAAATGGGTTTCAGAGGGGAGACAAAAAAAAAAACTTTGCTGCTTGCTAAAGAGAATTCATTCCATTTATGCAAGCCTATAAGCAGTATGCGTGTACAAATAAAAAAGGACATTACATGACTGAATGACTGACTATGCCACAGAATGACTGCTCTTGTTGTAATATATGAAATATATGCAATAATATATAAACATAGAGAGATAGATGCTTGTGAGTATGGTCACATCCTCACACTGGAGATTTACCTAATTAAAGTGTGTAAAGCAAGAAAAACATCTGACATTATTTTATTTTGTATTTTAGCTTATCACCTGAAAGCAAGTTGTCAAGGTTAAACATTGCATGGCTTATTCTCTGAAGTGCTATGAGATATATTGAGTAAAATTAATTGCTTTTACATATAATGAGAATACTTACCTTAACATAAATTGACATAACTGACTGCCTCACTCCTTGAAAGACTCTTAATTTTATTTTTTCAAATTACGCTCAAGAAAAAAAAAGCAAAAACAGTTTCTACCATAAATACCAATACCACTACCAAATAGCAAATTAATATAAAAATACCAAAACCACTACAATCACACAGCTGCCTCTAGAAAGTAACTGGAATGAATATATCTACTATAAAAATTAAATAAAAATGTTTTTTCCACCACAGTCAAGCCACAGATTAAATATGACACAGAAAGAACCACTTGCTGGATGTGCATTTCCGTTTATAAATATCTTTTCTTAGATTTACAAGGGTCAAGTGCAAGCATTGCAGGAGATTCCTATGTGAACTTTATCTGCAATTTGATCCTTGCATGGGAGGCTGTCTAAGCATTACACTGTAATATAATTTAATACTGGACATACACTTCAGCAGTTACAAATGATGGACTATTTAAAAGCATGTAACTGTGCCCCAGAAATGTACAAAGGCATTCAAAATAGCATTTTATTTTGGACTGGGGAGATGAAAGGTTGAGTTGGGATAGGGTCTCCAAAAACACAAAGAAGTGGCTCATCACTAAAGGATTAAAAAAATGGCCATTGCCTTTAAAAAATACGGTTCGATAAACAGTGATGCTATTTTAAGCCTAAGACTATGAAAGTGTATAGGTATCTCTTTGGTTTTCCTCAAAGTTTTCACAGCACTAGACGGGAAAAAACCTCATACCTTAATGTTTTACTATCATGCTAACCCTTTCCAACCCACCTAAAGCATGCTATTTAATGATGCTAGCTGAGAAAACAGCAGGACGGCTCAGTAAAAGTCTCGCACCACGTGTTTCATTTCAGGCTGGGGTTTGGTTTGCTCCTCCTCTTTCTTTTTTTCAATAAACATGAGGAGTTATGCAACCCTCTGTGAAATCCTAAAAAAACCTGTCCCCTCCCAAACCTGCCATTTGTAGAGCCTGCCAAACATGAACAGGGAAACTGGTTGTCAGCAGCATCTCCTACATGATTCGAATCTGTCAGTGTTTAAGATGCTATTCACATGTGCGTTCGGCACCTTGTAGCACACACCCAACTTCCCCTTGGAATAATTTCACCAATGTCCAAGAGCTTTTACCCAGGACTGGAGAAATATTTGCTACCGCTGGTGATCTGACAGGGGAGGGGTCGTATTTATTTTCAAACGAGCTAGCCAGGGTTACAGATTATAACACAGGATTTTGTCTCGTCCTTGTTTTCCATCCCGGAGTACATGGCTGTACACCTACGAGTATTACACCGGAGGCGCTAAATGGTCTCCCACACCTGATGCTGGTTTTGTGGAGGACGCTATACAGCAGCGGCTTTTGAAGACGAAGCCCCCCCAGCGACCGCTTGGGCATTTCAAGAAAATAAAAAAAAAAAAAAAAAAGAAAGAAAGAAAGAAAGAAAGAAAAGAAAAGAAACGGCAAATAGCGTCTCCGCATCGGTCTCCATAAAAGGGGGCCGCTGCCTCTGCACGAGCGCATGAAGCACCAGCAGCAGCATCAGCTGGGGCGGCTGAGGCTTTGTTGCTGACTGCGGAGCATTTGGTGTGTGCGCGCAAGGTGGCTCCTTCCCGGCTCCTCCAGGAGCCGCCCGCGGGCGCAGCCAGCCTCCAGCATCGCCCAGCCACGGACCTGCTGCCGCCGGGTCGCACGCTGGCTGCGGCCGCGCGTCCCTCCTCGATGGCGATAGGGGGATGCGGCTGCAGAGCCTATCCCCATGGCAGGAAAAGGCGTGCAGCCTCTCGCCGAGTCCCGCTCCCCGCCAGTCCCTCGTCCCCGGCTCTCGGAAGGGAACACAGAACATCGCGGGGACAGCACGGAGGTGAATCCCAAGGAGAGACACGGCACCGCCGCCCGCAACCCCCCGCGGGCGTTACATAACGACGGCGGCGGCGGCTGTGCTGGGCTGGGCTCGGGCGCCCCTCCGGTGGGGGCTGGCACCGGGAAGGGGCACCGGAGCCGCCAGACCCCCGGCAGCGCCTCCACCGCCCCCACCCCTCGCGCAATCGGCAGCCGAGCTGCGATCGATTAGCGGCGCGATGGGAAGAAGGGAGCGGGCACGGGGCACGGCGCACGGCACACGACACGCACCCCACCCACCCCCCTACCCACCCCCGGCGGAGCGGTGCTCGGTTGGCCCGGGAGCGGCGCCCGCGCACTCACCGCCAGCTGCGGATGGCGGCAGGTCTGGCGGGGCTGGCGGAGCTCCGTGCGGCGCGCTCGGCAGGAGCCGCGGGTGTCCGCAGCCGGCGCGGCCGTTGCAGCGGCACCGCCCCCCCCGCGCGGGNGCCCGCCGCGAGCGCCCATAGGCGGCGCGCGCCGTCCGGCCGGGGCCGCGCCCGGCCCCGCGGGCCGCCTGAGGGACTGCTCGGCCGGCGCTGCCTTACATGGCCCGCTGGCGCGGCCGTACTCCCGTCCGCTCCGTTTTCCCCGTTATTCCTGTTATCCCCGTCATCCCCGTCGCCCGAAACGCTCCGGCAGGTGCGCTGCGGCAGGCGGGGCCTCGCCCTGTTCGCGCATCCTGTGCTTCCCCCTTCCGATGCACCGAGGGGTACCAATGTCCTCTGTGCTCTGCCGCGCCCTGGCAGGTTTGGGTCTGGGTGGCCGCTCGGCTGTGCTTGAAGCTGGGATCGTCGGCGTAAATGAACATCGTGTGAAAGACTGGGCTGTGTGGTGCAGCGGGCATTCAGTAAAAGCTTCACCTTCCCTTGGCTTGCCTTTTGCCTGGGAGCAGCCTGAGGCCGGCACAGCGGAGAGGCGTTGCCACAAACCTACCCCACAAATCAACCCCATCCAAAACCCTGGAGCACAGACACAGTCCAGGAGTCAGCAGGAATCTAGTCAGCCGTTATGCACCCTCATCTGTGAATTTATAACCAGAGTCCAATGACCCTGCAGAGCTTGGTGGATTTTAACTTGATTTCTGCTGTGCTGGAATGAAGTTAAAACAACCTACCGACAGTCATGAGGGAGGAGAGCAAAATGCTGATGTGCAATGGATTCTCAGTTTTTCAAATGCAGGAGATATATATGGCTAATTTTTAAATTGGTTATATAATTGGTTATATGTCTATACTTGCCTCAGGATACAGAATAGTTTACAAACTATTATAAAATTAGCTTATAAACTCTGATTTCAGTAACTCAAGGCAATTATTGAAATTACCCAGAATGTCAAAAAGAGACTTGAAAGGACCCTTCTGGTTAGGATTAAGTCTGTCTGTAGTATGAGTGAAGGTTTTGTGGTATTGTAGGGCAAACGAAATTGCGATCTCTCATAAGAGCAAAATCAATGTCTGCAAATCAATCTGCAAACACCTCCAAGTCTTTCTCCCCAGGGCTGTTCAAAATCCCTTCATCCCCCAGCCTTTATTGGTACTCAGTAATGAAACTAAACCTGGTTTTGGTAGGCACAGACATGCAACGTCATTTTGGCAATACCTATGTGCATAGACATGTGGACAGCTACACAGATCAATACAGCCAGAAACACTCAGCACTCATACAAGCACGAACAGCACCAACGGCCTCATCTTGTTGCCCTTTGACTAATCAGGATGAAAGTGTATTATTAGGAAATATATGCTCTGTATAATGTGGATTCCTCCAGTAGCTGATGTGATACTCAGTCTACCCCTGGATTCACAATGTGCCCCACTGCTGTACCCTGGACATACGAGCTCCTAAGACTTGCAGTCTCAATGTAGTTGCTCTTCACTTGTCACCCACAGACACACACCATGATCTGCTGGTACCTGAATCTCCAATCTTCCCAGCTGCTGTACCTTCACGAATGAACACCTCTCCAAGGGCTGGTGCAGACCTCCTCACTCATGTGCACCATGGTTCTCTCAGTAGCTGGGCTTAGACATGCAGTCCACCCCGTAATTGGCTGTGGATCATAGGTCACCCAGTTACTGGCATCGGGGCACGCTATTCCCCACACCTCACAGTCCCACTTCAGGTGCTGGTACAGATTTCCTTGGACAGAGCAGCACATTAAGCATGCACACTGCGGATCTCTCCTGAGCAAACACCACCCAATATCTTAGACAGGCCCTCCTTCCAGCCTGGAACACTGTTGTCCCCAGCTTCTTCCCCACACATGTACACACACACACACACACACACACACACACAGAGACACATGCAATCTCTCAGTTTACCTTCAGATTTTATATCCTCTCCATCAGTTGACATAGACTTCTTGGTCCCTTTGGAAGTCACCTTCTCCAATTGCCTCACTTTCAGAGACATTTTTCCGTCCCAAGCCTCTTAATCTCTTCTCCACCTAGTTTGGTTCAATATTTGCACTCACACTTGGTCCAATTGCTCACACCACAGACACATATAACCCCTTATCTGCAGTGCAGTTATTGTTGCTTGTTTTTACTCACTCCAGTCTCTTCAGTTGATGACTCTGCTGATTTGCAAGCCCTATAATCCCTTGTCCGATTTCAGTTCCTGACTCCTAGACATCCATAGAATCATATCCACACAGAACAGAGTTCACTCATTTAGGATAATAGTTAGAAATGGAATTTAGGAAGAATACGGGACAGCAGGTGATCAGGGTGTGGGTCATGGCCAGACAAGTATACTGCCCAGCAACCTGTTTACACATGGGCAACTGCTTTTATCCTCCTAGCCCTCTATGATGCATTTTCTCCAAGCCAAGATAAGCCCTCCCTTCCTCTACCTTTAGTTTCGTCTCCTACACCAGCCAAAAGATGTCTTGTGTAATCCTAAGGTTCCCTGAATGTCAGGAGAGGTTCAGACTTGATACTTGGAAACATTTCTTTACCAAGAGGGTGGTCATACCCTGGAACAGGTCTTCTGTGGAGGTTACTGATGTCCTGTGCCTGTCAGTGTGTGAGGCATTTGGAAAATGTCCTTAAAAACAGCTTTAACTTTGAATCAACCCTGTGACAATCAGGCAGTTGGACTTGATGAACATTCTATTCTATTCTATTCTATTCTATTCTATTCTATTCTATTCTATTCTATTCTATTCTATTCTATTCTATCCTACTCTCTTGCATCCCACAGTATGTGTTATACACTCTTTTGCCTAACCTGGAAATTAAACTCAAGATAATTTTAGTAAGGAGGTAGTATAAAAGGAGATCTTTATTTGAAGGCCTTCAGAGGCAGTTATGGAAAGATGTCCACAAAAGCCCACCCACCCTCTCCCAAGGGTGAGTACATTTTTATAGGTTTAGGAAATTAGTATAATGGATAAAAAACATCAATTAGGAGGACAAGTGGTGATGCAATTCCCCCTCCCCCCAGACCAAGCCCCTTCTCTGGAGCCCCCTTCAGCACTAGTTGTACTTTGTCCATGAAATGTATCTTGAAGAGTTGTTCTGAGCCTTGGTTCCCAGGAAGAACCAAGGTAGCATGGAGCCTTGTACCCTCCAGGGCTTGGAGCTCTGGAATTTGTTTTGTCTTTCTGCTTAGGGAAAGGCCATGGAAAATTACTGGGAAAACTAGCTACTAATGCAATACATGACAGAGTTACAAATATATGTGTGAAGAATACTGAGAACATATAAAATAAAAAAAGGCAAAACCCAAATGGCATCTATTGTAGCCCTGACTTCAACCACTAAGTTTGTCTGGAAGGCCTGTCCAGACTAATCTGGTGTGTTTCAGACCCAGGTGATGACCATCAGTTCTCTTTTGTGACATTCCTGAGACTGGGACAGGGAATCTTTTTTTTGAGCTCCCCATAAAGATGAAGGTTCCCCTCCTCGATATTGTTGTTCTGTGCCAAATTTAGAGTGTGGAGATGAGATTTTTATCAAAGAACCTAACAACACTTAATTTCTGGTCACACTTTGAAGACTGTATATTCTTGGATGGAGAGGATTTTAGAGATTTAATTTAGCAATTTAATTTAATGGAATTTAGTAATTTAGTTCCTGGTCCTGGAGTCATACTGTTGAAAATGTGGCATCATGAGGTTTTGGCAAAGACAAATGAGTCACAGAAATAAATCAGTAATACCTCAGGGCATATATGTGCTGCCAACCTAATCCACACCATCCTCCTTTACACCCTTCAGTTCATAGTCTACCAGGTACGTCCCTCTCAAGTGGCCAGGATAGGGATGAGACAAAATATTGGAGCCTTTATTTCATTCTTTCAACTGGCTTTTGTTGTTCAAGATGCTTGTCTTTTACACCTCCCAAACTAATTTTTAGAAAATTCTAGTATAAAATTTAAAAAACCCATTTTTGGATTATCCATATTACATGACAAGGTTTTGGTACCAAGCAGGCTACAGGGCTGGCTTCTGTGAGAAGATACTAGAAGCTGCCCCAATGCCAGAAGGAGTCAGCTCCAGCTGGCTCTGACGGACCCGCTGCTGGCCAAAGCTGAGCCTGGTGGCAGCACACAGTGACAGTGTATTTAACAGTGTATTTAATAAGGGGGGGAAATTGCTGCACAACAGCAGCCGATGGGTGTGAGAACAGTACAGACAACTCTTCAGATCCCAAGGTCTGGAGGGAAAGGAGTAGGAGGAGGTGCTCCAGGCACTGGAGGAGAGATTCCCCTGCAGCCTGTGGTGCAGCCCGTGGTAAGGCAGTTGTGCCCCTGCAGCCTATGGAGAGGACATCCACCCTGAAGCCTGTGGAGGATCCTATGTCCAAGCAGGTGGATGCTCCCTGAAGGAACCTGTGAACGGAAGAAGAAAAAGCCCATCCTTGAGTTGGCCTCTCACAACAGCTGTGACCCCATGGAGAGGAGCCCATGATAAAGCATGTTTTCTGGCAGGACCTGTGACTCCGTCTGGGAACCCACACTGGAGCAGTCTGTTCCTGAAGGACTGCCCAGTGTGGAAGAGACCCACACTGGAGCAGTTAATGAAGAACTGCAGCCCATGGGCAGGACCTGTGTTGTATAATTTTGTGAAAGACTGTCTCCCATGGGAGGCACCCCGTGCTGGGGGAAGAGCATGAGGAGGAAGAGACAAAGCATTAAGAACTGACCTGAACCCCTATTCCCCATCCACTGTTCAGGAGAAGGAAGTAGAGAAGTCAAGAATGAAATTGAACCCGGGAAGGAAGGACCAGTGGGAGAAATGTGTTTTAGGATTTTGTTTTTATTTCATATTATCCTACTTTTGATTTGCAATAAATTAAATTAATTTACCCACACTGAGTCTGTTTGGCCCAAGATGGTTATTACTGAGTTATATCCTTACCCTTATCTTGAACCATGAACTTTCTGTCACATCTCTTGTTGAGGCAGGGAAGTGATAGTGGG